AAAGATTTTCAAAATATAACTCTACCGCGGGCAAGCACTTTTTTACTCTTCTGGTGGACAAAGGAATACGTTGGCTCAAGTACCGATATGTGATTCAGCGAGACGTAGTTTATTCAAACATAACTCTGCCGCCGGCAAGGACTTGTACTCGTCTGGTGGACAAAAGAATACGTTGGCTTAAGTATCGATGTACTATCCAGTGAGACGCAGTTTATCCAATATAACTCTACCGTAGTCAAATGCTTTTACTCTTCTGGTGGAATAATGAATACGTTGGCTCAAGTACCGATGAAGTTATTAGCGTCAGCCGCTGGTGGAATTCGAGAGGCTACATAAACACGGATTCAACTAGCGTACATGCTTAAGTGAAACGGATATATTTGGTGCGTATAGAGTATGCAGTGAATTCACACGTTTGCTTCGTATTCCGTTTTTCAAACCAACCAAAATGCTTTAACTTCGTCTATTTTATCACAGAATTTGGGTATATTGTCGAACGCGATACGACTATTCACGCCCAGACTGGAATGCTTGCAAATTGCGCGGGGAATTAATTTTCGCTTCGTTTGTTTGCGCAGATACAAAATCGAAAAATAATTTGCCGTTTGCTTACGAGTTACGATCAGACATTTGATGTACTAAAATACAGACAAACTAGTGTAAATTGCTGTAAAATTGTAAATCGAAATTTCGCGCGGATTAAGTTTAAAATATCTATCATATGCGCGGATGGTTCCCAATTTTTCAATTTTGCGCGGATGAAACCAAAGCTTCGAGATATTGCGCGGAGAAGAACTTCCCCGCGCACAGCAAAGATTCCAGTCTGGATTCACGCTAAATCGATCTGTATTTCAATGTCAATTGTATTACCACCTTGAGGTTATTAACCTGCCAGATTGGGCCTCTGATTTCGTATTCCGCTTCCCAAACCAATCAAAATCTACTAAATTCGTCCATTTTATAACGACATTTACATTCTGGTGGATTATTTCTCGATCAAAAATTCCAATGAGTCAATGACAATTTTATTACCACCTTGAGGTTAGCCGCTGATTAGGCTTCAGATTACTCCTCAGATTCGGCGTTGGATTGGGTTTCAATCAGGATTCAAGCCTTACATTAAACTGTATTCAATCGTTCAAAAGTAGACTTATAAACCTCTTTTTCAGGTATTTCAGAGCGCACGTTAATAAAACCTAACATTAATTGGACCTGCATACATTGTCAATACTTTACTGTTCAAAACATAAGAAAGCAAGCTCATTTGTTAACAAAATTTAAGATTTCAAACTCTGCACATATATATTTATCTACATTTGCGATAAGTCGGCAAGATGGATATCATGAAAGATTGGTACTGAATTAACAACACCATGCATACCTACGCTCATGAAAATTGAAAATTCTTCGATGTACTATCTGATCATTTAACTGCATGATATATTTAGTCTACCAAATACATATTTTACAATTTCTGCTAATATCATAAATGCATGATTGGATGTCCGATCGCAACACTGTGGTTATAAGCACCTGAATTGCAATTTGGTCCTGCTATTTCGAATTAAAGTAACGAACAAGCTATATTTCTGATCTAGTAATGTTACGTAACTCAAGAAAGTTCCACCAATCATAATTGAAATAAAATAAGAGTGATAAATGTTGTGCAAAACGCCTTAATGAACACATTTACATTAAAAAAAAAAATTAAAAATATATATATATATATATATATATATATATATATATATATATATATATATATATATATATATATATATATATATATATATAATAAAATGTGCTTTGATGGTGAGCTTTGTTTGTCGTGTTACCAACCCTCCAATTAAGAACTTGTAATATAGAAGCTTTGTGGGGAAGCTGCTGGTTGTCTTGGCCCCATCCAGGTTTCCTGTATATTCCAGGTTTTTTCTGGCCTCCCTGACTATCCAGCTATAGTATGAGTGATGGTAATGCTCAAATATATGTCAAACTTTCATCTGGCAGCAGCTGTCTTGCAACTCTATCTGGGGTATCAGCCACTTTGACAGATGTGCTAACCGCTAAAGAACTATCAATGTTTCGGGGGGAGGGTTCGTCTATGGGGAATACACATTCTGTGTATTTGTGGGGATGAAGTCTCCAAAAAATGTCAACTTCAGGCCCATAGACTCAATATATGTCACACATAATATATCTAACTCTAAGGACTGTCCATGGGGGTTTACCCCCCATGTTTAGGTTAAGGACTGGCCAGATGGGTTTAGTGCCTTTCGTCAGGTTAAGGACTGTCCATAGGGGTTTTGCGCTCCGATTGGTCAGGGTAAGGACTGTCCATACTGGGGTTTCGTGCTCCAGTTGGTCAGGTTAGGACTGTCCAAGTGAATCTTGGTCAGATTATCAGCAGCCAGTTCAGAATCTGTGCAGCTAAAGGGTGTGACATATGAGTAGGCATGATGCTTGTCATATACTTTAAATGGACTCTTCACAACCCCGAACCCCTCTCCCACAAAAATAAATAATCGTGTTTAATATTGTGTTTGTCAAGAAAGTGGAGGAAAAAATCAACAACTTGAGTCATTAAATGGTGATAAAATCTTAAATAAGCCATATCAGTGAATATTCTATACGGTTGTATAGAATATTCATGCATCATGCATACAATATATATATTCTCATCATGCCTCGTTCTTCAATGAACCCAGTATGAAAGTATACTTTGGCATTGAGCGATTGCGCGTATACAGTTTGGCATTGCTACTTGCTAGCTTCACTGAAGCTTGCATGTATATCTTTATATTTAACGAGTGCTCCCTTATATATCGGTTGAACACTTTCATGGTGAGAAAATCCTAAATAAACGATATAAACCTTCACCGACGTCCTTGATTAAATAATGGGCCATTTACTGATTATGTTAGCTTGAAATGTTAAGAATATTAGCATGCATGCAACCAACATGTATAGTGTAAAAAACGCGATAAGCCGGGAATTTGGTTTATGACTATATGCATGCATACATCAGTGTTACAGTGATTCGCTTACAACGAGAAAACGAATATGCCTATATACGTAGGCCTATCGTCATCGCTGCAGGATTGTCATAAAATATTGCGAAATCCTGCATTAATCAATTAATAAAATCAATTGTAAAATATATGCTTTTTAAAAAATATAAAACCAATTTAACACTCAAATCCGGAACGGTAACAAATATTAATGCAATGAAACACAAAGCAAAGGCTTAGTCACCTTAGTGCGTTTCTGTTGCTTTCTTTTAAACAACTTCCTATTCCGTGTTATCACATATATTATCTTCCAAGCAGTATAAACAATAGGTTTTTACCACTAACCTATCATATTAACATTGGTCATTGGGAATTGTAATTTAATATACCACAAATACGAAATTTTTATCAGAAAATATATGCCTTCATGTTAGCTTGAATCGAGCGTATTTTCATTAATGACTTAAAGTGCTTTCCAAATTGATCCGAAATATCCAACTTATTTGATTGCTCTTCCTTTTTGACTTTTTTTTATCATGTTTTCCAACTTATCTTGCAAATTATTTACCGCCTCGTATTGCTTTGTGACATCATGACATGGTGTCTTAAATTTCACCGCTTCCTTTGTATGCCCTTCCTGTAGGTTGTCATTTTTTCATTTACTTTCGCGTCAACATTATACTCAGTTACACCGTGCTTGCCGTATATACTCACTTTTTACGATCATATACAAGATTTCCAACAACTATAGGTATTGTGCTGCCACTTGGCTGGTGCACTCTTAAGTCCTTCACGACTCGTGAATTATTCCTTACAAGTTGTCACGAGTCGTGAAATTTCACGGATTAAACGAGTCGTACGAATTTCGTCAGGTTCACCACTTGGCTAGGTGCACTCTTAAGTCCTTCACCACTCGTGAAACATTCCTTACAAGTTGTAACGAGTCGTGAAATTTCACGGATTTAACGAGTCGTACAAATTTCGTGAGGTTCACCACTTGGCTGGTGCACTCTTAAGTCCTTCACGACGATCGTGAATTATTCCTCACAAGTTGTAACGAGTCGTGAAATTTCACGGATTTAACGAGTCGTACGAATTTCGTGAAGTTCACCGCTTGGCTCCTGCACTCTTAAGTCCTCCACGACTCGTGAAACATTCCTTACAAGTTGTAACGAGTCGTGAAATTTTACGGATTTAACGAGTCGTACGAATTTCGTGAAGTTCACCACTTGGCTGGGTGCAGCTAGTCTTAAGTCCTTCACCACTCGTGAAACATTCCTCACAAGTTGTAACGAGTCGTGAAATTTCACGGATTTAACGAGTCATACGAATTTCGTGAAGTTCACCACTTGGCTGGTGCACTCTTAAGTCCTTCACCACTCGTGAAATTCTTGTATTCCTTACAAGTTGTAACGAGTCGTGAAATGCTGCTGTATTGGACAACCATCAAATAATCCAATGAACGATTGTAAATAATTCTAATTCGTGCGCTCTAACCAACTGAGCTACAGAGGCCTGCTGTTGAGCTGTAACCGTAAGTTCATGTGTATATAGGTGATCGGGTGTGCGGGTTGTGATAAGGTGGACTTCAATGAGCTGGTTCTTGCACTTCACTTGGTGGTATTATTATTTGAATGCTGTTCTTAGGGTTTGTAATCCAAGTGAGTATATATATATATATATACATTATAAGACCTGACCGGGAACGACTGCGAAAAATGCAGCACAAGGTCCTCTGGTAGGAATTGAATCTACGGCCCTGCGATTCCGGTGCAGCGCTCTAACCAACTGAGCTACAGAGGCCAGCTGTTGAGCTGTAACCGTAGGTTCATGTATATTTATAAAATAACATGTATATAACGCGTGTTCTGATTGGTCGAAACCCGTGTTTGGATCAGGCCATCCAAACACGGAAGACTCTCGTGTTGTTGTTATTTTATAAAGCAATCACTTTATGGTTTCCATGTTAGGATGGCCTGATCCAAACACTTGGAAATGTTGCTCGAGTTAAGAAAAGCGCGCAAAATCACTCGCCTTCGGCTCGTGTTTTCGCGCGCTTTTCTTAACTCTCGCAACATTCCCGCGTGTTTGGATCAGGCCATCCAAACACGGAAACCATAAAGTAATTGTATAATAGGTGATCGGTTGTGCGGGTTGTGATAAGGTGAACTTCAATGAGCTGGTTCTTGCACTTCACTTGGTGGTATTAATATTTGAATGCTGTTCTTAAGGTTTATAATCCAAGTGAGTATATATATACATTATAAGACCTGACCAGGAACGACTGCAAAAAATGCGGCACAAGGTCCTCTGGTAGGAATTGAACCTACGGCCCTGCGATTCCGGTGCAGCGCTCTAACCAACTGAGCTACAGAGGCCAGCTGTTGAGCTGTAACCGTAGGTTCATGTATATTTATAAAATAACATGTATATAACGCGTGTTCTGATTGGTCGAAACCCGTGTTTGGATCAGGCCATCCAAACACGGAAGACTCTCGTGTTGTTGTTATTTTATAAAGCAATCACTTTATGGTTTCCATGTTAGGATGGCCTGATCCAAACACTTGGAAATGTTGCTCGAGTTAAGAAAAGCGCGCAAAATCACTCGCCTTCGGCTCGTGTTTTCGCGCGCTTTTCTTAACTCTCGCAACATTCCCGCGTGTTTGGATCAGGCCATCCAAACACGGAAACCATAAAGTAATTGTATAATAGGTGATCGGTTGTGCGGGTTGTGATAAGGTGAACTTCAATGAGCTGGTTCTTGCACTTCACTTGGTGGTATTAATATTTGAATGCTGTTCTTAAGGTTTATAATCCAAGTGAGTATATATATACATTATAAGACCTGACCAGGAACGACTGCAAAAAATTCGGCACAAGGTCCTCTGGTAGGAATTGAACCTACGGCCCTGCGATTCCGGTGCAGCGCTCTAACCAACTGAGCTACAGAGGCCAGCTCTTGAGCTGTAACCGTAAGTTCATGTATATATAGGTGATCGGGTGTGCGTGTTGTGATAAGGTGGACTTCAATGAGCTGGTTCTTGCACTTCGCTTGGTGGTATTAATATTTGAATGCTGTTCTTAGGGTTTCTAATCCAAGTGAGTATATATATACATTATAAGACCTGACCAGGAACGACTGCGAAAAATGAAGCACAAGGTCCTCTGGTGGGAATTAAACCTACGGCCCTGCGATTCCGGTGCAGCGCGCTAACCAACTGAGCTACAGAGGCCAGCTGTTGAGCTGTAACTGTAAGTTCATGTATATATAGGGGATCGGGTGTGCGGGTTGTGATCAGGTGGACTTCAATGAGCTGGTTCTTGCACTTCAGTTGGTGGTATTAATATTTGAATGCTGTTCTTAGGGTTTGTAATCCAAGTGAGTATATATATACATTATAAGACCTGACCAGGAACGACTGCGAAAAATGCAGCACATGGTCCTCTGGTAGGAATTGAACCTACGGCCCTGCGATTCCGGTGCAGCGCTCTAACCAACTGAGCTACAGAAGCCAGCTGCTGAGCTGTAACCGTAAGTTCATG